AGGGAGAGTTTATTTCTCTTCCTATAAAATCTTGCAGGTTTTAGGACTCTTTTTGTACAATTTCTCAGGAGCCCTATCACTTAAAACAATGATCCCAAGATAGTCAAAATTCTCGATACATGCAAATGATTACCATCGACAGTGAATACACAAAATCTCTTGAGAGAATACTCAATTCTACGCTTGATCGAATCCAAACTTGTCATATACGGTACAACAGAGATTTTCTTTAGATGGAAAACAAATGAAACAGTTTCTTGCAATGTACAGGGTCACAACTTGGAGAAGAAAATGTAATATTTGATGTAAAGTAAGAAATTTTTCACAAATATAATAAGATTTTCTATAGGAAAAAAAACTTAAAAATAAAAGGATTTTTAAAAAATCGTAATTAATCTCTATAAAAAATCGATATTTATAAATAAAATGTAAGGATAATCCTTTGCAATATGAAGAGGTTCTGTGATAAACGAGTAAGAGTTATACAAAACAATATAATAATAATAAAAAATATAATGCAATAAATAATTTTTAACATTCCATTTTATTCTAAGTGATGCGAATAAAAATAATTGTAATTGAGAAACTTTTATTGTACTTTAAAAAAATAGGTAAAATAAAAATGAGAAAAATTTATATTGAAATAGAAAAGTATGTCCAGAAGTTTTTGTCCATGTTCACCAGATATTCGAATATATGGGCTAAAAACTGGAGGTGTGCCAGAGGATGAGTGACCTCGTGCGAAGTCTGATGGTTTCAGGTTATAATAGGGTTGCTTACTGCGGCGACACTTACGGTTTTATGTGTCTACCATCTCACCATAATTGCACTTTTGCTTCATTCTTAATACTTCTCTCTTACAGAATGGAATTGGTTTGTAACAATTAATCCTCCAAATAACGCTTGGGGTTATTGCCTATTCTCTTTTGTTTCATTTTGTTAGAAAAATTCTTTTTTTAAATTTAAATAATTCGAAGCAATTGGCCAGACCGCCTATCCTTTTGTTGACAATAATTCCATCTGGAATTCTTATTCCGGAACGAATTAATCACAAACTGTTCCTATTACTGCTCAGATCGAAACGAGTGAAGCGTAATGGAATCGAAATTTAATGGCAAAATATACATTTATATATTTTTTAAATAGTTTAATTCGTAATTTTTGTTTCTCTAGATTTTTTTAAATGGTGGAATATAAGTGATGCGCTGAAGTCCTTTAAGATTAGCCATTGTAACTCGAACCCACAGTTGGAAGCAACGAGTTTTTTCTTAACGGATTTCTAAGAGCTCAAGTAGAGTGATGTGTCTTTTTTAGACTTGTAGCGTTGAAAAAGCCGTCGTATAACACATTCCGTACATTGTTAAGAATAATACTTTCAAGTAAATGTCAAATTGTACTCTTATACAAAAATGGAATTTACATTTTATTCTTGATAACTGAATTTCGTATTCGTAAGATGAATTAGCTCGATTGCGTACTATAGAATGTTTATATTGAAAAATCACTAGGGAATTTTCCTCCCGTTTATTATATCTAAATAAAGATTTCACTATTCACTTCAATTCATAAATCACATGCAAACAAGAGCATCTATTAATTCTCGTAGAGAAATTCTAAATCTATAATTTGTATCGTAAATATGTTTTTAATTATTTTATTAATATTAACAATTGGCAAGTTATTGACGTGTTTCCAAGAACAATCATTGAATATTCTCTTGAGTTATATTAATGACATTAGATTCGTGAAGTAACAACAATTTGATAATTATGATAAACGACTTAGAATATTCATTTCAAAAACCAAAGATCGATCTAAAAACCGCGATGGACATTAATATATTGAAATAATATCTAAAATAAATTAGCGATAATCACGTAAATAAATTGGAGCAAAAAATCATATTAATAAAATTCAAAATAAAAAAGAAATGATTTATTTTTAGTTTATTTTTCTTCAAAAATAAACCTTTGAAACTTTTACAAATTTATAAATTCTGTGTGTTTTGTTTAATACAAATAGTCGTTTTCTTGGATCGATTTTACATCATTGATGCAGGATTGTGGCTGCAGATATACACAGTTATTTCTTACATTACCTGTTAGATATTTTGAATTTCAGATAATATTTCCTTACAGTTTATATAGAAAATTAAAATTTGATAAAGTTTCTAGGCATTTAATACTTTCGTTTAATTTTATTTCCGTCCTGTTGACCATATTCTCATTATTAAAATACTCGCTTTACATGAGAATAATGTTTAAAGCATTTTAAGTCAGTTCCAGTTAATGTGGCATTAAAATAATGATGAAGGAATTAGAAAATTAAGAAATAAAATTATTATATATATATATAAAAAGAATCAATTTTTCTACATTATTAGACTTTTCGAATTAGTTTATTCAAATTAATTCAATCATTTCTATGTATATATGCAGTGTTCCTACGATAAATGAGTACTTAATTGAAACCGTTATTAAATAGGTTGTTTGCATCTAAGACAGTTATAGCAAGTAGTTATATATTTTCCTTTCTACTGCTAATTTATTAATTATATTTACAGTAAATTTTTTCCTGTTTTCACTACAAGAGACTAGCTGCTTTGCAACAACAATATTTCAATTAAAAAAAGCAGAGAAATTATTAATTACAAGAGAAAATTGCGTTTTTATTACGCATTGTATCAATAAAACAATAAAAAACAAATAACATTTTTGGAAATTCCTATAAACGTAAACATTGCTTAATTTACTGTTATATCATTGCATCTTATAAAAAAATTATTTATATATATTTACACAATTTTTTATATATATCCTTATAAAATTCTTCAGTAAAACTGAGAATTTAATACTAGTATTTCTTTAAAAATGATTAAAAATTGGTACAATTTTTTTAAAAATACGTTAAAAGTTTCTATAATTATAAACAATTTATTTATTATGTTATTTATTATTATATCATTGCATTTATACAGAATATATATTTATATTTACAAAATACNTAACAAAATATTAAATACAATAAATTATATATTAAATTCTATTTATTAATTTATTTAAAAATAAAACATTTATGTAACAATAAATGATTTTTATATAGACGAGTGAAATAACTATTTACGTTTACATATATTATATAATAAATATATAAAAAAAATTATTTAAATAAAAATATCTCATTGCATTGCTCTTGTGGGTCATAGAATATCAATAAAAGCTGGAAATGTCATATTTGGTTAATATTTCCCTTGATATTATTAAAGTAATTTTTTCAATCTCGGTTTATAAAATAAATATAAGAATTTGAAAACAGTATATATTTTAAAAGTATACATGAATTATTATATGTTATTAACAAATTAATTTATGTGAAAATATGAAAAATATCTCACTTTTTATCTAATTTTACTCATAATGTGATATTGTAAGCGTTATTTTTTTATTAAGGAAAATATATAAATAATGTATAAAATATTATATATTTTTATTTAAGAAGTTTTTATGTATTAAATTTGATTTGTTTAAAAAATAAATTTTGTTTCCTTTATTGCTATGAATAAATTCATTAATATAAATATTCACACAATTTTATTATATTACATACTACTTGATGAAGAATTACATTATATTGTAGATGCAATTTAGTTGTATTCATAAATAACAGAAAATACAATAATAATATCAAGTTTATAAGTACAAGAACAAATCCTCATTAAGATATACAACAAAAGTAGTTTTTTGAGTTAAAAAAACACTTAAATGCTCTGACAACATTTAACATAAAACACTTCAAAATTATTGTTTCAATTATAAATTATCACAAATTATAAATAAAAACTTTATACTTAGACTGTAATACCGAAGTAATTCACATCATGATTCATTACGACTAATGTACACAATTACTTAATTTTAATCATAAAGTTACTTTCCACAATAAACTGATATAATAAAACCTTGATAGTTTTCTCTTAAAAGAAAAGGGAAACAAATTAAATAAGCTCTTATCTTAATCTAGATAGAAAGATTTTATTCGTTATTTTTCTATTTTTTGTATTAAAATTCATTCAGAATGACCATATAGCTATTAAAAAGTTTATAATTATTTAACGAGTGTACGATATTTAAAAGACTTTTACAAATTCAAAGCAGCGAAGAAAATATTTCCAAAACTTCATTGACACACACACACACACACACACACACACACACACACACACACACATACACACATGAAAAAATTCATTGATAAAGTGAATAATATTCAAATGATGTGATTTACCTTGTGGGTAATGACTTGTTGCCATTTAAAATTGTTCTTAATGAAATTGTGCGGTGAGAGTAATAAATATAGTTGCTTACATATCGCATGTCTTCTCATCATTTGTGAATCCTTTTTGACTACCTTTACTTGGCAACCTTTGATGATTCTTAATCAAGCTTCTTTAATGAAGTAGCTCTTTTCTTCAGTAATACAGCTCCCTTGTGGTTCACGCATTATAATAAATTGCTTTTGGTAAGAAAAGAACTCGGAAATTGGATTATTATGAAGATTTCATAATCCTTTATTGGGATTTTTTCACTTTCATTACATATGAATAACGTTTTTCCTTCAGTATTCGAAGCGAATTCACAATATAAAATCGTGCTTTTTTGCAAGTATCTTATGTTGTATTTACGGAAACAAACTTAAACTTTAGAAGAACAAAAGTTGTAAATCTTCGACAGACATCATAATTACGATTTTCATATTATTGCTGTCAGTGCATCGACCACTACTAACTCTATTAGATAATTATCAAATTCCAAATGCCTGTCATTGTCACAGGAAGGACTGACCCTATTGGTTTTGACATGGTTGGCATCGTTAGATCACTTACTATATTCTCCCGTGGCAAACAAGCAAATTATCGTCACCTTTAACGGTGCTTGTATAAATCAACTAGAATATTCGCTTTATTCTATACGGTACCAATCTGACAAGGTATGTTTACTTACCCCACGGCTGCTCGTTTGTAGCTTGTCCTTCCACCCAGCCACATAGTCCGGTTAGAAGTACCCAGAGGCTAGTAAGAAATTGATTGGCCTGAAACACCATGGAGAAGATGGTATGGAAGAAGCAGAAATCTGCTTCCTGTTCTAAAGTCATACATCCGACTGCAGTTGAGACGTAGACTATAGAAGAAATCCGACGTAAACTGTTTAAAACGTCACTGTGTATGATGTATATGTAGCAGTGGTGATTTCCACTCCAGCACACATTCCGAGCGATAGTTGTAGCCAGAACGATGACTGTAACCTGCACCAGCTGCTTTTTATCGAACGCCTGGAATTCAATTCCAATTCGCACAACAGTCACTAGAGGGCCTTACGAGCACGGAGCTTGGCGCTTTGTCCCAGCTGACACAGCATTCAGCAGTATTTTAATGACTGAGAACACATATAATGCGGGTATTGTTGTGATTGGCATCATTTGTATTAAACGTGGAAATGTACGAATCAACTGAAAACAACTCCCCTGAATAAAGATCTTATTGCTTTCCAAATGCTTGAAAAATAACTAGCAGCAAAGCCACTTCTTTGTTTCTGTTAATGAGCAGTTTCTTGCGGTTAATGCCATATTATTTTTTTCAAAAAAATACAAACACTCCAACTCAAAAAATATTAAAAGAAACTAATCATTAGTTAGAGTTAAGTCATAACTTTTCTACTAATTATTCTCTATAAGTAGACTAAATTTATATAATGGTGTAACATAAGTCCGTTACTAAGTTTTAAGAAGTCTCACAAGAAAAAATAAAGAAGGAAATTAAAAGTACATTAAAATTTTTTGAACGTTTTAGTACTTTTTTTACTTTCATTTCTTCATCATTTTTAAAGATTTATATTGTATTTTTAGCATTTTTATAATAGAAAAATCAAGAAAGCATACAAAATTTTAGTCATGAAAAACAAATTTTCAAAAACATTTTTAAATTTAATAATCATTATGTTACACAAACAATATAATTATACATTGTATGTATAACATTACTGTACAGTATGCACATTATTATACTGTGTATATAGTTTATGTTCATAAGCTAATGTAATTTGATATCAAAATTAGGTATAGCTTTCGATTATGTAACTTATTTCCTGATTACCCGTTCGTTATACTTATCTTCCTGTTGTCACATTATCCGCTCCCATTATGCTTAACTTTAATGATTTAAATCTCGATTAATCATATGAAATGATGGACATTTTTAATTTATGCTTACATGATAATAAAGTATTTTAAATAATATTCCTTTGAAGAAACTAGCGCAACTACCTGGAAAAGTATGCAATAATATTACTGTTATTGCTATCATTATCATTTAAAAATCGATATTAAATAAAAATTCTAATTAAAATAATGTTATTAAGATATAAGTGAATGAATTCCTTAATTTAGTAATAAAATAAAAATCATTGAAAGTTTTGAAATTTTCATGATATACGGTACATTATAAATCGAATTGAAATTTTATGGCACATTAAATTTTGATTATTATTTATCTTTTATTCTATAATTTAATATTAATTTTAAATTGTGGAAAGCACAAGAATTAATAAATATAACTTATTATTTATAAATTTATTCTGAAAACTTAAATGCTCCGAGGAAAAACATTGCAGACATATTAACAGTTAATTTACTTATAATTATGTTCTGAATAAACTTATATTTCTTTATAATATTAAATAAGTTTAATGAAATTTAAGAACTTTAGAAAATAAAAATTTCCAATTAAATATTAAAATTTTATGGTTTTATTTTTGAAAATTGACTTTATAACCATAATGTTTTTCGAAACCGAATATTTTTAGTTACGAAATTTATAACTAAAAATTTTTTCGTTAATTCGTTAATAAGAATTTTTAAAGCGTTTTTAACGAAATTTAGTCGGAAAATTAACGAAATTTGTGTTTAAATACGTATTTATAATTCTAAAATAATTCTATAACAAGTACAGGTACATACAGTATTTAATACATTATAATTAATACAGTATAAATACAGTAAACAGTATTAAAATATAATATTAAATAATATTGTTTTACTGTATATTGTATTTAATACAGTATAATAAATACAGCATTTAAATAAAAATGAAAATGTATATAAATATTTTTTATATTTTTGTTTAAATATTTACTTTTCAAAGAATTTTGTGTTTAAAATAAATAAATAAATACATTTATTTATAATTATCACTTTAAATCGTTTGTGATGAAGATAGCGATAAGAATGATTTTTAATCAATATATTTAATTAAATCTTTTCATGAATTTACATAACTATTCATAAACATGCAAAGTTTACTATATATTATATAAAGACGAATTTCATAAAATAAATGTACGCAAAAGAGAATTAAAATCAATTGATATCTTCAGATGTATAAAATCATTTTGCGATTTTTCTACATCTGAATATTATGATGATGATTAAATGACATCGATTTATCATGAAAATTTTTGCTTGTGATAATGCCTGGTACCTTAAGATAATGTCGTTAAATAGGTAATGAAAAATTTAAAATGCGGAAACATCTTTATAGGCTGTTCAAAGCAGCATGAAATTCGATTTTACTTTCTTCAAAAAATGGAAAGAAAAAAATAATATTATAAAAAAGTAGTAAGTAATTTGTTATTTAAAATAAATGAATATAAATTTCATATATATATAAAAAAAACCATTTCCATTTCTGTAACTTAAAGAAAGGTTTATTTCCCTCAACTCTTGAAAAATATCAATTGCAAAGAAACGATTGCTTGATGTTGAAGTTGATGAGCCTTCCACAGATGTTTCTGACATATTGTCATCAATTATTGGACGAGAATGAAACTAGAAAGAATCTAATGAATGTGTCGAGGAAGCTTTCTCTCTATAGATATGCCATACATGGTTAAATTTCAGTTAATGGATACATTGGCTTTCTTGAGCAATATCGCAACTTAATGCTATCAATTCAAATCATAACTGAATTTTACATTAACAAATGAATATTAAACATGCAGATAATAAATTACGTTATTAAAAAAATTAAATTGCAATAAAAAATATTCCGATTTAAACAAATTTTTAACNTGCATAAATCTAAATAATTATATATTAAAATAACTCTCAAAAGCATTAAACTTGTAATATCTTAGTTAGAAAGTTGCAAAAATTGTTGAAGATATTTAAGTTTTATATAGAACAATAAATTTAAATATTCAAGGGGTTCTGCTATCCATACACCTTGAATTTTTGAATGCACTGTTGATCATCTATGTAAAAAATTCGTTAATTATGTTATTTTACGATCAAGACGGTCGCCCATGCTATCAAATGTACTTTTGCTTTCTATGAGAAAAAAATTCTTCAGTGTCCATTCATTAATACAAAAACATTTAGCTCTAGGTTAGGGATTTACAACAGAAAAAACGCATTTAAATTTGATATTGATACAATATTATTAAGATATTATTTTAAAAGAAATTCAGTTTTCAATAAAAAAAGAGTGCAGAAAAATTTAAAAGTTCGATGAAAGAAAAAAAAAATTTTACATCACAGAAAAGTTGTCTTGCAGAAGTCTCACCCCAGAGGTGCGTGTTAACAACTACTGATAGAGAAGTGGAACGAATGTTAAACAATAAAATACAATGTTTATAGAAAATATTATTTAAAAATCGTTTTTTATGATTATCTTTTGTGAATTTAAACACTAATTATTGCCAAAGTACTATTTTTACATTCGGTATTTTCTATTCTAATTCCCTATTTTCAATTTTAATTATGTTTATTCGCTTTATAAATTCAAAAATATTTATAAAATCTTTATAGAAATATTAGTTTTCGTTTTCAATTTGTTATTATTTAACTTTATTATTTTTTAAATTAATAATAATAGTAATGAAATCAAAGTTTTAAAATATTTATCAATAAAAATAAGTATATTAATAATATTATTAGTGTTTATATACTCAATTTTTCTGGTTTAAACACATAAAAATAATATTTTCTCTTTAAACTTTATTTATGTTTAATAAAATTAACAAAAATTGTTTTCTAATGATTAGATTTTCGACAAAATATATTAAAAAAGAGCTTTATCTTTATCTTAGAAGAGATCAAGAAAACAACCAAGATTATTTAATCGCAAGTCCAAAGCTAAAGAAAATTTCATAATGTCCTAGTGCCATTTTTCTTTTCCCAATTTAGATTGAATTCCCTTTAGAATTGATTAGAACAAGAAGGCTAAGAACTCTAATAAAACTTTCTACAACTTCAACCATTGAGAAATTTTATTATAAGACATAGAAATCTACCACCAAGATACTTACAGAAATGCTATCATTTTTCCTTAATAAATGGTATTTTTTTCTATTTTATCAAAGAATAATATAATTAATTTTAATTATTTTTTGTATTTTTAAATTAATTTTCAATTATTTTAAATTATAAAAGGATTATTAGTGAATAAAAAACAAAGAACAAAAAATATTTTTCTTACAAAATTCATAAAAATCACTTAAAAATAATAAAAAATATTTATAGAAAAAATATTACAGATTTTTTAAACATTAAAATGATAATAAAAAATACGTTGACTTTTTATTTATTCATTATTTTTCATTCTTTCGGTTAATATAAATTTTTTGTAAAAAAAACTCGTTATTAGTGGAGATTTTTATTATTATTATTATTAAAAATATTTTAAATTTATAAATTAAATAAAAATCTTCATAAAATTTACATTAAAAATTCTCATTAATCTATTCAATTATCACGTTTCTTATTTGTAAAATATTACTCTTAATAACGGAAAAAAAACAATAATTCTTATTATACAATAAAAGTATCAAAAACCTTAAAATTCACTAAAAAATAAATTATATATTTAAAATATTTCAATAAATATTTAATAAATAAGTCAATCTATAAACAGAAGAATAATAAAAAGAAGGAAGAAGAGGAGGATGGGAAGAGAGGAGTAGGAAAAAGATGTTTTTGCATTTAACAACTTTAATAAGATTATGTAGCATTAAAAATAATGAAAAAATAATTTATTTTATATAAGTAAATAAACAAAATAAAAATCGTATTCATTTATTTACAATAATTTTAATATACAAATAGAAATAAATAATTTTTTATAGACACATTCAGTAAACTAACAAGTTGATGAGTTTATCTCACTTCAATTATTTTATGCGATTCAGTTCACTTATATATACAGTATATATATAAACAACGTGTTAAGAATTTTCACAGTGTACTGTTGAAAAAAAATACATATATA